CATTCCATTGCACGCGTTCGAAAGCCAGTTTTTCTACATGCTAAAAATTAATAGTTTGATAAAAAATATTCCCTAGCTCTGTTAAGTAAATCCTAATCACGAAGTGACCAGAAGTCATTTTGGGGCCATATTTGGATTCATAATCAGATGTTCTAAATGAAATCTACGAGTAATGGATACAGTAGAGACAATAAGTTCGCCAAAATGAAGGCCTTGCTCATATATGAGAATACAACCTGCATTATTTAGATTGCATTGAAGAATTGGAGGATTATCGTTAGAATCAAAATTTAAAAAGGAAAAGTATCTATTTAGTTTGATTGATCAGGTTCTTACGATCTAGAGACAGACTTTTTCCTTCAGCATACAATGATCAGCTCTATTAAAACTCAGGCTACGTACCACTTTAGGTTCAATTGTGCATTTGCCTAAAAAATTTGGCATTATGAGCTGAATAATTGCGTTGTAAGAGTCCGCACAATGAGCTGACGGATAAATTTAAACATATCTGAAGGTTTTTGATAGAGATTTACTAAAATATGAAATTATACCAATGTTATTTACGTTGTAAATTATGATAATGCTAGAAAAATTGACGCATAAGTGAGGCGGGCATTAACTCACAAGTCAGCTGCTGCAGGAGTCTGTACAAGAAGACGATAGTCCACATCTCCATTTGCGAGAAAGCAGCTGACATCATCATCGTCTTCATCCTCCTCGTGAGCAAGAAGAACGGCACCAGCTTCAGCATCACGCTCGATTTTTTTTTCATGTTGGCTACCAGAACCATCGGCAAGTGTCTGTTCTGAGTGCTCGATTGAGGCATGGTCAATCTTGGGTTTAGTCAATGCCGAGCTTCGTGTGTCCATTAGGCGTCTCTTGGCAGGCGAAAACGAAGCAAGATTGCTGGGGGACTCGGGTTCTGATGATCGTTTTCCAGAGCCACCTCTTACAGGCGTTTCAACAGTCACTGACACATTAATTGGTTCGGCCGAATCAGATTCGCAATCAGATTCACCACGAAATGCATCTGGCAGGTCAAAGTGACTGGATTCTCCGCTAGGCGGATTTGATCCAGCCATTCTAGCCAAGTGCTGAATGTTCAGAAGTCGAACATCTAAATCTTGCCCAAACCTCTTTTTATCAAACTCCTTATGTCTATCATCTTTCCCATCATCTATAACTTTGTCCACAACAGCTGATCGCTGACCATCTTGTTCTTCGCCGGCCCACTGTTTTTTATCAAAAGAGCTATCCTCCGAACAGTCAATAGAATAATCTTTGATAACTCGGAAAATACTGCTTTTCTCAGTGGCAAACTCATTGCGAGTTTTCAGTTCACTATTGAAGGCTGTAATAACATCATCATCCTCATCTTCATCATCGTCATTTCCGCCATCATACAAGGGTCCTTGATCATCCTCATCAGCGTCACCTCCACCAGATTTGCTAGTATCAGCGACACTGATGAGACTAGGGTTTGTTGTCTCTACCAGAGGAAGTTCTGTATCTCTACTATCTGACTTTTCAATAGTTTCACTCGGGTCTCCGATGCCCGATTCTTGCTTGATCGTCTGTACATGTGCAAGAGTGTGCAGGACACGTTGACCGTAATCCCCGTAAGCCTATGAATGTAAAAAATACAAATGGATCTTTTAAGCCTACAGAAGATATGTTCATATGCCTCTGTCCTGTCAAAATCTATGAACTCTCACATCCCTTTTACTTAAACTTGCTTCAGTCCACATTAATGCAAATAAATTCATTGTGCTAGTCAAAATTATGTTGATCCTAAAGCTGTTATGTTCTTTAAGAAATCAAATTTAGTTTATGATATGAAGATTAATAAGCTTTTTAAGTTTATAGATAGTAAGTCAAAACTTCGGCGTGATCAGGAAGACTTTCAAAAATATCAGAGCATGACCGGAAGTAAGCCACATATGATCTCTGAATTAATAGCAAATTGACAAAACGATAAAAATTGCATAAATTCGAAATTATAAGACAGCCTAAGTTAAAACCAATACGCCCAGTTGAAGTGGCTTCCGAGGTAACAGCACCTACTAATGAGCATGAAGATCCGAATAAAGTAGTGAATTTACCATCATTTTCTATCAATCCAGAAACCACCACGATCCTGGAAGGACTCCATATTTCACTTCAAAATAACAGAAGCCTTCTAGGAGACATCCTGGTGGAGGCTATCAATATCTCCGAAAAGTTAGCTGAGGAGACAAAACAGAAAATGGAGATGAAACTAATTCCAAAGATCTTGGCAGATCAAGAACCAATACACATGAACAGATTTGCCTGGATACACAAGACCCTGGAAATGAATGAGCAATTAGCCCTTCGAGGGGATAAAGGAGGAGCGACAATGATAATGGACAAAAAAATAATATACCGAGAAGATGGAATATATTCTACGAGACAGGACCACACATCGTATACTAAAGAAAGACCCAATTATGAAGATCAATGGAATATTAAGTGAGATGTTGAAAGATATGAATAGAAACGGGGAGATTTACGCATGCACAATAAATTTAATTATAAGAAAGTATGCACGACCACCAACAGCCTACGGATTACCGAAAATACACAAAGGCGAACCACTAAGGCGATAGTCAACTAGAGAAAATGCGTTAGTAGCTCTGCTAGAAATGTTGGACCGAAAGGAAGTTAGACTGGGATCAGAAAGTATCAGGAGTCATTAACACAACTAATCAATTTAACAATAAAGAAAACCTATTTTACAGTCAACGGGACCATTTATGAACAAATATTTAAACTTCCCATGGGATCGCTACTCTCACTTCTTTTAGCACACGTATACATGAATAAATTAGAAGAGAACTTCAAGATGTCACTGCTACAACCAGCAATGCCTATGCGGTACCTTGATGATTACTTTGCACTTTGGTCACATGGAAGAGAAAAACTGGAAGATCTTCTGAAGTTTATAAATCAGAGTAATAAAAAAATTAGATTCACGATGGAAGTAGAGGAAGGTGAGCGGTTATTTTACCTAGATGTTCAAGTGATTCTCTCTAATGGGATACTCAAGAAGAAATTGTTCGGAAAGAGGTCTTATGCCGGAATTATACTCAATTTCC